CTGCAGAACGAGTGCACATTGCGAGCAGAGCTGGGGATTTGAGAAAGGTTGCATTTGAGATGGGGACAGTGAGAAATGGGAATGTCACCAGTGTGGGAGCCCCGTGCCCCCATGAAATACTGACGTGGGACTACTGTGCCCTGGGGGGGGGGGGAGCACCAAGCATTAGGGGTACAGGAGGGGTGGGAGCACCATGCACGAGGGGTGAAGGAGGGTTTCGGGTACCGCACATTGGGTGTGCAGGGGGGATGGAGCCCATACACTGGGGGTGCAGGGGAATGGAGCACTGTGTCACTAGGGGTGCAGGAGGGATGGGAGCACCATGCACTGGGAGGTACAGGAAGGGTGGGAGCACCATGCACTGGGAGGTACAGGAAGGGTGGGAGCACCATGCATTGGGGGTGCAGGTAGGATAGGATGCATGTGATGCTTGTACAGAGGCTGGGGCTGATGTGGAAGCACCATGGCCTGGGGATGTTCTCGGCATGGCAGGCATGTCTTGCTGCGACCCGGCCCTGGGGAGCAGCCGTGGTCAGAGCCCTGCAGGGTGGCAGGCCACAGCCAGGGACCGTATCAGGTCCCCAGGGGCTGCGTGTGGTGTGGGCAGCATGGTTCGCTGGCAGGGGGACAAACGTTCCCAGCCATGCGAGCAGTCATGAATCAGCTATGTGAGCTGCTCCCCCAGTCTGTCTGCCTGCTTCGCCAGTCTGATCTCCGGCCAGCTCTGTGCCATGCCATGCTGATTTATATCTCAGCTTTTTCTTGCTACCTGGTTGTAAGCCATGCGGGCGTTAGGGGCCGGTGCAGATGGTTTAGTGACAGCAGCCCTGGCTGCCATCAATCACAGCAACGCTTGGATTTACAAACTGAGAAGTCAGGCAGGAGCCCAGCAATCCAGGGGGGGCTCGTGGTGCTGAGTGGTGTGTGTTAGGCAGCAAAATCCTCCTGTCCCTGGACACCACAGGGCTGGGTTTTAGGGAAAGACTGGGCAGTTCAGAGGCTTAACAGATTCCAGCCACATTTGGATGCTGGGAAAGGAAAACACTGTGTCCTCTAAGCATGCAAGTGCAGAGCTGTCCCAGCCTGCAGCAGCGCTGGCGTGCAACACCCCACCAGCCACCCTGTCCATCCTGCTGTCTGCCATCTCCTGGGCCATGGGGAGATGCACCCTCCTGCCTCTGGCTCCCCACAGAGGCTCTCCAGGTCCCACCTGGCTGGCACTCCATGGGGTTTTCCTGCCCTGCCCTATTTTTCCTGCACCCTGCAGAGCACCCCACTTCAGCAGGGCAAGTCCTGCACCTTGTAGAGTTCAAATGCCCCACAGGATGGCTGTCCTTGCTGCCCCAGGCTCAGGATGTGCAACAGAGAGCTCAGAGGACCATGAGGGGTCTCATCCCAGAGCTGTGCATGCCTTGGGGTGCCCTGAGGACATTCCCCAGCACTGGCATCCTCCCTGCACCACCAAGGAGGACCTGGAGTAGCGAGAGAAGTACAGAGGTGCAGTCCATGACCCTGACAGCCTGCAGTGACAGTCACCGTGACTGTCACTAAAGTCGCCTGAGCCAGAAGCTGCCGAGTCCTCAGCTGGCCCCATCAAGCATCTGTGCCCTTGCTCGACCCCGGGGAACATGTCCACCCCACAGCTGGACAGAGGGGCTGGAAAACACCGAAGTGCCAGGCTATGAGCTCCCATCACTGTGAATATTTGGGACCAGAGAAGCACATGCAAACCCCTGTGCAGCACGGACCCGCCCACGCAGCCCACGCAGCGCACCCCAGCCCCTGCAGCACATCATTACTGCCCATTCATCGTGTCCAAGAAGCTGGACTCTCAGCTGCTGCTGAAGGCAGAATCATGCTGCTCTGGGGGGGGGCGTCTTTTGGCTATCATGGTACCCAGGACCTGCAGGGCCCTTGTCCCAAGGGGCTGTGTGGGGCAGAGCACCTGTGGAGCAGGGTGATACACCAGGCTGTGGTGCTGGGGTAGGGGAAGCAGAGAGGAGGCACCTGGGAAGGCTGGCAAAGTACAAGCTGAAGGTGTCTAATTGCTCCATAAACTCAGGGGATGGATGTGGGTGCCAAGGCAGCCCTGCCAGGGGAGCAACTGGGCTCAGGCTGGCATGCCTGCCGCTCCTGTGAGCTCCCAGCAGCCATTGCCAGCAGGACCTGCTCAGAGCAGGAGCTCACTGCAGCCTCCAGCCCACATCCCACCCCTCACAAGCACAGCCGTCGTGGCTGCTGATGGCCTGGGATGCAGGGGCACGTTTGTGGTGGATATCATCTCAAACTACCTGAGCGTGTCAGGCTGCCCACAAAAGCACAAGTCTTGTGCACGTGCCTCCCTCCGTGCTCTTGCTGGGAACCAGCTGTCCACCTCTAATTGATGCCACTGGGCTCACACATGACTGCACGGGCAACCCAGCAAGTCTCTGGGGCACACAAGGTTGTGGAACCCAGCATCCTGCAGCTCCACCTTGATGAAGAGACTTAGGGACTTCCCACCAGCATTGATTTGTCCAGGGACAGCATTAGTCCTACTCAAGGGCCAAGGGCATGCCAGGGATGCCCTGCACAAGCCCTGGGAAATGCAGGCCCACCTGCCTGGTGTACTGACTGCCACTGCACACTTTACCCAGGGGTCCAGGACTGGCTCAGATGTGGGACCTGCAGGCAGTTTAGGAGACAGCTGACATTGCTAGAGCTGGCAGAGCCCAACCTGGAGAAGCCTGGCACCGCGGAGGATCCAAACCCAGCTCAGACATGGTTTTTCCCATTGCCTGTCCTAGCTCAGTGGCAGGTTCGAGGGTGAAGGACCCACCTAAGCTGCCCTTCCACCCCTGCAGCTCTCTCTTGGTGAGGGAGGGCAGGTGAGGTCATGCCGGAGGTCTGTGGGCTCAGGGTGGCCACCCAAGCCCCTGCCTCGGGGACGTGCATCCCCTCAGCCTCCCCGTTGAGGGGTGATGGGAACACCCCACCGGAGTGGTTGCACTGAGCTGGTCCAGCCCCAGGTCCAGGGTCCCAGCAGGACAGGGCAACGTGCCCCGTGCAGCTGGCACAGCCAGGGCACAGCCAGACCCCCAGTCACCAGGCAAGGGACAAGGACAGCACCTTAAGGAACTGCACTGCAGCAGCAGGATGGCACGTGCCCCAGTGGGAAGCCCTCCAGTGCCAGGCCACATGGCGGGACAAAGTCCAGCCTCGGCATTGGCACCGGTGCTGGGGAAGCTCTAACCTGTCGCAACCTGGTGCCACGGCCTGGGGGGACCCTGCCGTCCTGCCGTGCATCCTCGGGGGACAGCCTGTGGCCTCCGACATTGGCACTGGGTCTGGTCCAAAGCCTGGCTGGCCGGCGCTGGGTCCAAGCCAGCCCAAAGCCGCCGTGACGTGGGGCGCAGAGCAAAGCTGTTTGCACAGCTGTGCACAGCACAGTGGAGCGAGCCAGCCCAGGGAAGGCAATGTTTGGAAAAGCACTGGCTAATTTGGGACTGGATCTGTGCGGGTCGAGGCTCGGGGAAGGCACAACCCAGCTGCAGCCCAGAGGGCAGTGGAGACAGGGGTGGGGGGCTTGCTGGCGGTGTACCCTGCCTCTGGTTTCTCTTGTAAACGAAGGTCAGGCTTCAATTAGCGGCAGGAACCACGCTGGGAGCGTGAAAGCCGTTATTAGAGGCCTGGCCACGAAGCCGTCTGGTGGTCACCGCAGTGCCGGGGCAGGAGGTGTGGAGCTCGGCGGGGTGGGGGGGGCAGGATCGGACCCGCGCGGGCAGCTGCAGAGGGGACAAAGTGCCGGTGCACAGCGGCGGGAGCTGTGGCAGGGTTGCAGCCCCCCGCGGACCCCCTCCAGGAGCCATCCGTGTGTCCTTGGCGCGGGTGGGGACGACCCCTGCTCTCCTGGGTCCGACCCCTCGCCGCCCCCCGCAGCCCCACGTGTCCCCTCTGGCACCCCCCCGCCCCCGAGGGATGCTCGGAGGAGGTCACCGGGGGGGACACCGGGCTGCCGCACCGGGGGCCCGGCGGGCGCCGGGCAGTGCCCCGCCGGCGGTGGCGGAGCGTGGGCGGAGGGCTCCCTCTCGAGGTCCCCGGCCAGCACTGCCTATCCCGGGGGCAGAGCCAGCCCCCACGCGTGACCGTGGGCAGGTCCCCACGGGGCTGCCGGCCCCGGAGCAGCTGGATGGCGGGGAAGCGGCCACCACCCCGGGTGGTGGCCAGGAGGACGCAGGGACGACAGAGGAGCGTCAGCGAGGCGCCCGAGGTGCCGAGCAGAGCAGGAGGTGATGGGAGCCACCAGCTCGGGGCAGCCACCGGCTCCTTCAGGGCACCCTCATTTTCTTTCTGTCATTAATTAGCGGCTGGATTTGTCTGCTTCGCTCCTGGAAGAAGCCAGAAACCAAGTGATGGGTCACAACAGTTGAGGGTAGTTCCCCCAGGCCAGAGCTTGTCTCACGACCTCCACCACGAACATCAAAGGTTGGTTCAGCAGAAGACGAGAGTCACTCCCAATGCAGCGCAGACTCACCAAGCAACAAGTGTGCAACCTCCCACAGAGAGTACCTCCAGCTGGGGCCCTAGCTACCCAAGAGCTAATGAACATCTCTCGTCAATCAGCTGGATACGGCACGTTACAAATGCTGGGCACCTGGATCAGGCATTCCAGAGAAGGACGACCCGGAGGAGATATCTTACCAGCTCCCCACGCGTCGTGCTGGCACTCAGTGACGTTTCTTGTCGTGCTTCCCACGAGCAAAACCCAAACTTGATATAGCCAAGATGTTCTTCCTCCTTCCCAGCCCTGAGGGTCCGTGTTCCTGTCCTCCGTCCCCAAGCCCTGCCCGCTGCTGCACACCTTGTCCACGGGCAAGGGGCCGCACAGAATGACCCCCCCATGGGAGTGCTTGGGCAGCTGGAGATGGGCAGACAGGGCAGGAGAGGAAAGACCTGCCCCGGTGGGAGAGGGGGTGGTGTCCCCTTCCCCGGGGGGGCTGGGAGAGCTGCTCAGCATTAGGATGTCACCTCCACCCGTGGTGGGACAGGGTGGGTTCAGGTGGTGGCAGGGGAGCGTGGTCACCACTCGCTCGGCGCTGGGCGGCGAGTCCCAGCGGCGGAAGGTGCAGATGCAGGTGCGGAGGTGACGGCACAGCACCAGGGCCCTGCGGGGCTGGGACAATGGGCCGGGCAGGAGGTGACCCGTTCAGGGAGCAGAGTCACCCCGCGTGGGACACCAGTGACACGAGGGACAAGGCAGCAGCGCCTGAGCCGTGCAAGGGACAGAGCGGGGGTCTTCAGCAGGAGCGGGGTGGGAGGGGGCCTGGGGACACCGCAGGGACAGAACGGTGGCCCTGGGGCACTTGGTGCCAGCTCTGCCAGGGCTCTGGGTGTCACCTCCCCAGGGCACTTGGTGTCACCATCCCTGGGTATCTGGTCACCCCCCCAGGGCACTTGGTGTCACCATCCCTGGGTATCTGGTCACCCCCCCAGGGCACTTGGTGCCACCCCCTCGGGACACTCTGTGGCCCCCTGGGGCACTTGGTCACACCCGGCCCACCTGCTCCTTGCCCCCTGCCTCCCCCTCCGCCGCACTTGGTCGCGCCCGGCTCGCCGTTCCCCCTAACGGCGCGGGACGGAGGCGGTGGAGGTGACGGCCAAGGTCCGGCAGCCAATGGGGCTCTGGGGGGCGTACCCGGGGCGGGGGCG